TGGTGTCAAATGCTGTCAGATTTAATTATACATTAATTTAGAATTTCACACATGAATTCACATTCATTTGAAAATAAAAAAACAGAAACTAACAGAATTTAATGATCTGTTCTGGCCACATTTTACACTCAGTGATCAACTCAAGTTCAATAAAAAAATGACGTATTGGAAAAATGATTTGCAAATAAAACTATTTATTGATTTCTAATGCAATCTTTACATATTTCTATTCAGTGCTTTACTAATGTGTTTTTGAGTTTAAATATCTTTATTTTGGGGCTTTTCTAAGCAAAAGCAAATATTAATATATGTGATTGAGATTAAATCAGCAAACATCTCTGCCACCCCTTACACTCTCTCTGTCGCTCCCTCTGGAGATAAAACAGTGTGTGTGTGTGTGTGTGTGTACAATCACCCAAACAAAACAGGACACGTTTTTCCATCAACATGAACAGATTTTTTATATCTTTAGAGCAATAAATATTTCCACTTTTTCCATATCTCTGCAATTTCAAAAACAAAGTACAAGTAATATATATTTATATACACAGCTAAAATCTTCCATACATAATTTTTAAAATAATGTCGTCTCTGTTGACACATATTTGACACTGTACTCATACAATTTTACAAGGACTATTGCAGTCTCTCTTTGCTCTACATTATAAACAAGAATTGTTTTTTTTCTCCATGAAGCGGTCCTTGGTGTTGTTACGTACAACTCAGACCCCCGGTCCTTTGCCCTTGTATAGATACACACAACACAGACTGCCTTTACACAGGAACAGAAGAATCCAACATTTCTAACTTTACCTGAACCAGATCTGATGTGCTTTCATTTTTTAAAATGTTCCCTGTTTTGCCTGCAGCAGTCAGACCAGATCTGTTTCTACTGGCGTTAAAAACCAGGTCTTCTGTTCCCGGTGTAAACTCAGCCAGAGACAAATTGCCCGCTGCGGAGCAAAGTGAGTACTCGCATTGTTATTTATCATATAACGATGGTTATGTACATTCATGTTTATAATACAGTTTCATTCAGTGCAGATACTGTAATAAATACCACATGCAAACTGATAGTGGAGAGCAGACCCGGGCAGAAAAAAAACATATTTAAATAGAGCATTTAAAGGACCATGCCTGGGTTTTTGCATGTTGTTAAACTGCATATACTGTACATTACTCCTGCAAACCATGTAATACATTTTAAATAGATTTCCTTCCTTCCCGTCAGACATTAATTGAGTTTATTTCAATGAAAATCTGCTTGCAGTGACTTCCATCCTGCGGCAGATATCAGAAGGAAAATTGCTTATAACCATTAAATGTAAGAATCAAAGGTTGGTTGCTGCAAGTATTGCATTTATGAGTTTTGTTGTCAGCAAACCAACCCAAAAATAACAAAACAAGCAAACATGGGGCAGGTTCTTTTTGCATTTACATGGTTGTTATTCTGCAACCAACTGCCTCATCACAAATGTCGGAGTCTTCAAAACATCCCTTACTTAAGAATTTTTGTATAAAACACAGCCAAAAAACAATGGTAAGCTAGACGTCAAAGTGTGTGTACTGGGGTCCAAACATAAATCGCAACTTGGAACCAAAGCCGGAGCAACTGACCAGGAGGCTAAGATCATGGCTGAATATGTGCTGTTGTTGTTTACTGCCTCAGAAATCCTCCTGCACTAAAACACTGAGGATCTGCTGATCTGCTCCGACCTCTGACCCACACCGCTGGTGCTTGGACCCCTAATAAATGTTGACAGTGACTGATTATCTATCTGCAGTGACCAAAGCCCGCCCAAAGGAAGGAAAACAATCTAAAAACTTAGGGGTGTTTGTAAAAAAGGGTTTAGCAGTTATGTAAAGTACATACGCTTTGTAGCTACAACATGCAAGAGCGTGGGCATGGAGCTTTAAAATGGGAACTTTAGTCAGGATGCGCTTGATTCAGCTCGGGCACGCAGTGGAACAGGGTGAAAAGTTGTGTAATCCCTTACGAGGTAGGTTTGATCCAGTGCTCCTCGAGAACTTTTTGTTATTTCAAGTGTGTTAAGTTGACTGTTTTAGTCTGGATTAGACTGTTACTGTACGGCAAAGGGCCAAAGTGTTTCTGTTGGTGATTGTAGATACATGATGGGGACCCAACGGTCCAGAATTTCTAGCAGCTCAGCATGTATTGTTGATTCGTGTGTTTAGTAGCAGAAGTGTTGCTTGCTTCCATTAAAGGTTGGTGTGAGGCTTCGTGATGATTCAGAGGTGTGCACGGGTGTGTGTGTTTGCGCAAGCATGCAGGGATGAATGAAAGTAATTATCACAGTCTGTATTAAAAATATTAGAACATATTAGTTGTATGTTAGTCACAGAAAAAATCTTGGTTTTGTTGTAAACATATTAAAAATTAAAAAGGTTTTAGTACTTTAATAAGATGCCCAAATCGGAAAAGAAAAGGAAAAAAAATCATCTCACACTCGTAAGCACATAACAAAATTAAAAATGCTAAAAATACAAAACAGCCCAAGGAGTACGTTATGTTAGTAGAAGCTTGTCACACAACAATATTGATAATAATATCAGTAGCACACTCTAAAAAGTCAAAGGGGTTCTTCAGATTGAAAACAATAGGGGACCCAAGGTGGTTCCCTGAGGAACTCCGTCCCTTGATTATAATCCATGGCGGTGTTTCCACGACCCTCCAACACAAAAGGCTTCTACAAAAAACATTTAAGGGATTTTTATTGTTTCGTTTTTCTACCGAGGAACCCTAAATTGCTCAAATAGCCTGAAGAACTTTTGGTTTTTAGAGCATACATTTTGTTAATTCAAGCAATTCTGAACCTTAGTTACAGATCGATGCCGTTGGCCCCATTGAAAATAGAACACACTGTACAGTTAATATCTACAGTCGGCGCATTCACGTAATCACAGGGAAACTAAAAATGTGTCATTAATGTTTGCATTCATAACATCAGAGGAATTTCCCATCATCCACCAGTTAAACGCTGGTAAATATGTATGTGAGGCTGACTAAACCAGCCACTGTGACAGGAAAGCAACCAGCACTGAGAGGTTTATTTCTAGTCGAAAAGTACAAATGGCTGGTAAAAGAGTTCAAATGGTCGAAGAACTTTCTACCAGCCATCATGGGCTTCCTGCCCTGACATCCGGTGATCTCGATCAAATGGAGAGAAAGAGAAAATACACTTTAACACTGGTATGGTTGGTTTAACTCAAAGTGCAAAAATAACGTGTAAAAATGAGTTTGTTCAAGAATATTTCGCTTAGTGTTGAGTGATGGTGAAACATTTTCTGCACTCCAGTCCTGTGAGATGTTAGCAAGTCCTTCAGGATGAAATTAGGTCCAGTTTTCAGGTTCCTTTGTGTCTTTGTGTCGGTTGACGAGGGAGACGAAGGGCTCAGTCCTTCCGCCAGATTTTAAAAATGGATGGATACAATCAATCAATGTATTACTAATTTAGATGCTGAATTGTCTTTATATTCCACGACGGTAGTTCTTGAACATTATTTCTTACGATAATCTGATATCTATCGGACCATCCCTCCGTCTGAAGGCACCGTATTCTCCATTTTGCAGTACAAGTAGTTAAAGTGGGATTAAACTTTTTTCACCTTCATTGGAAACGTTTAGAAGATTTAACATCCTATTGAGAAGAGCTAACACAGTTTGGACTGGGTGGGAAATTAACTGTTATTTTTTCGTTAGCCAAACACTGGTAAAGGTCTGTCTGTGGCTGGTGAAATAAGGCAGGTCATGATGTTTTCTAACATGCATGTTTCCAAAGGTTTACAATGTAAAGAAGCCAAGAGTAGTGTGGTTACTATTAACCTTTCACAGCAGTTACAACTCATCTTCTGATCTTATATTTAGTTTTATAAGCACATTGACCTGATAATGACTTAAATTTAACTTTATCTGGAGACATTTAACATAGTTTTGTGATTACATATCTCATTTTCTGTAATAAGCAACCTTTACTTAAAGGTTCAACATCCCGGGTCTCTAAAATACATAATAAGACAATGTCAACCCCTCCAGGATTTTGCACTTTTTTGGGATTGTTGCAGTCAAAAATGTCTGATTTCACCACAACCCTTTCTACAAAATTGTGATGCATGTTGTGATGTTTGTAGGCAATTAAATTGCAGGAGAAAGAGAAAGTGTAGTGTACCATACATTTCTTTTCTAAATGTCATGACACTGTGGAGTCGAGATTTTAAATCTTACTATCTTAGCTAACGAAATAATAAAGCACCACAAAAACATATTTTATTATTTGAACCTGGGAATTTGAAATAACTGACATAAAAAATTACTAGCAACCACAATCAGTCTCTGCATCGATAGAAAATGTTTCTTTTCAGTACATTTTGGTTTAGTAGATGTGACATTGCTCCCTGGTGCCTATAAACTATGGGCATTAGTCTGTTAGTCTTTGTACAGCTATTGCAAATCTGTACGTTTTTAATCAATAATATTTTTTTTTCCGTTATCTGACTGGATCGGATAGAGGGAGGTGTACGATATACAGATTGTTCAGGCTTCAGACAACTCACCCTTCCCAATTTTACATTTTAATTTCCCACCCAGTTCTGTTAACAATTCCAGTAACATACCTGGTGAGAAGAGTTACATCATATCTTGTTCAATGTAACGTGACATTAACTCTTTCATATTTATGCACTGTTGCTCCCCAGCTTCATCAAAGGCAGACCAAGCCAGTAAAACAAACAACTCTGTTTCCCAGACTGCACCCTGTTTGGCACCTTTCAACATAATCTCTCTCTGTGGCAACATAGGGGGGACGTCACATGCAATATGGAGCATGAAATACAGTTGACATATATTATAATTTCTAACAAATTCAGACTTTCAGATATGCTGGGGAGCATTCACTGGTTTAGTACAAATGATCAAATAAATCCCCCTTTACAAGAATAAATTATTGGGAACATTACAATGTCAAATGTAACCCACCCCCCCCATTTTAAAGTCCCAATCCAAAACAACAATGTAGCGCCCCCTGCTGAAACCCTGTAATCCACAAACACTAAAGGCTTTTAGTAATTTCTGCAAAACACAAAGGTAAAAAGACACCTGTAGTTTTTTGTTATTGTGATGGCTTATTTAAAGTTTTAAAAAAGTTTATTGTCCATGTAGAAAGTAAAGTCTTCAGTAACCTTCACGAATGCACTTTTCTTATGGTCAAATAAATGCTGGATTGGGGCTTTAAATCACAACAACTCCCTCCCCCTGCATATAGGATTTTAACCATAGACACACTGACACTCATTAGCTATTGCACAGGTCATGCATGCCTGTCTAAGACACAAACTGCACCATATTAACGCGAACCACTTCTGCTTCTCAGTAACACCTCATGGCTTGTAATATGTCAACAACCGGAAAAAACTATGGTACAAGTGCTGTTTGTGCGGAAAACAAAGTGGCGAAAGACTAGTGTGATTTTTGGAGTATAGTAAAAGGATTCGTCACGTTCTCAGGCTTCCTAAAAACCTGAACTGTCCCATCAACCAACACTGTACATAGCGTTAGTTTGGAGCGCTAACCCTTGTGTCAAATTCTCAGGCACTGTTTCCTTCACGTCTGGTCCCTTAACCATTTGTCCACCACAACGACTCACAATCTTACTCATGACATGACACAAAGACTTCCTCTGTCAGTGTCCTCTTGACTCCCAGGCCTCCATCTGAAGGGCGCTATGAAGGGAAGATGAGGAGATTTTCACCAAGACGGCAGAACTGAGTGGGAGTTTTTCTTCAGCGTTGATTTACGTTCTTGGTGCTGGTTGCTCCATGGGCAGGTTTTCCAGGAACATTTGCCCCTACAGGGTACGAGTTGCCCAGCAAATGTCTTTTCAGTGTGAGAGTCTTTCTACTTGCGGGGGAAGTGGATGTGAAAATAACACAGGCTGAGTAATTTCCTCTTCCCCGCTCTCAGTGCTCTCCTCCTCACTAGGCGCCCATTTTGATACGCCTGCATTTGCCCTCCTCCTCTCCTCCTCCCTCTCCTGCTCCCTCTCACTACCGCCCCCCGGTGGCTCACTGCGGGGTGGCGGACCACCGTCCTTGGCTTCTGCCTCCTCACACGACCGTGCTGATCCGGCTGACTGGTTTCGATTTGGGGCCTCCCCCTTGCCCTCCCCCTGCCCCTGGGTGCAGGGAGAGCGGGCCGGCCGACGGGGGGGGTAAGGGGGAGTGTGGAGGTGGCGGTGGGATGGAGGTGAGCGGTGGGTACTGGGGTCCGTAGGGCTGCGGAGGCGTCTGGGTGACGAGGCGGGCCGAGGGCGTCTGGGGTGGCGGGGTGGAGAAAATGAAGTGGGTGGAGGGGGAGGCAGAGGGGGAGGGGCTGAGCGGGGAGTGTGTGTGCGCGACGTGGTTGTGAGAGTGTGTGTGAGCGTGTGGGTGGGGCTGCGAGTGCGAGATGGTCAGTGGGAGCTTGCCGCCTCCACCCGGCCGTGCCGCCGCTGGGTGCGAGTGGTAGAGTCCGTGCGGGGTAGTAGGGGTGACGGGGGAGTGAGGGGACAGCGGTGGGGGCGTGATGAAGCCCATGCTGTAGCGCGGGTGCTGGGCGACGCCGTGTTGCATCCTCTGATGCTGCTGGGTATGAGAGGG